GTGAACTTTTGCCTAAAACTGCGACAGATTTCCCAACCCCTGACACACCATCCCAGGCATGACCCTACTCTCCAATTTGCAGGAGGGAAATAGAGAACGATGGTCGAAGTTTCAGCGTCCAAACATCGCCACCTCTCTCTGTCCCCTTTATGATCCAGCCCTTCTCCGCCGGGTTGCCCAAGCTGCTGGGGGGAAATTTTGCCAAAGAGGAACAACACATCGGAGTTGCGATCACGCAGTGGCCCCCCTAAGCCTACCCTTCATTTCCCGTTCCACTTCCCAGCCCCTGCCGGACACTTGGATTATCCGCAGGCAAAAAGGAAACAACGTGCACGAAGCACCCGACCCTTTTCATACACCCCACCTGGGTCAAGGCCTGTGCAACTCCGGGGTGGGGACAAGTTGCCCCCAGGTGGGTAAAAGTTGTCAAAACTCCACGCTGCCACACACGCAAGCGCGCGCACACACACGCACCCTGGGGTGTGACACACACGGCGGACCCCTGGGGTGTGACGGCACGTGGCTGAGCGTGAGTGTGAGCGCGCGGGTGAGAAGATGAGGAGGTGCGTGCGCGCCCGGCGTTAACCCCTTACCTTCCAGCAGCACTTCCTTGCCCGCGCGCTTCAGCGCCTGCACCGCCTCGTCGTGGGTGGCGTCCCGCAGGTCGGCCCCGTTCACCGAGAGGATGGCGTCGCCCACGTACAGGGCTTGGGTCTGGTCGGCCGCCAGCCCCTTGAAGATCTTGCTGATAAGGATGGGCATCTTGTTCTCCTTGCCCCCCTTGATGCTGATGCCCAGCCCGCCCAGCTCCTGCTTCAGCACCTTCACGCCGCGCTTCTGGTTCGAGATGGACTCGGGCACTTGTTCGGGCAGGTCGGTGAAGGCGGTGCGGACCCCGGCGGGCGAGTCCGGGGGCTGCGCGCCGCCCGCACCCGGGTGCCCGGCCCCGGCGCCCCTGCAGAATGAGCCATTGGTGGCGGTCCCGAGGCCGTTGTACGCCGCAGCGCCCTCCTCG